AAAAAAAAATAAAAATAAAGTTGAACTAAGTCTATTCTCTGAGATACAGGGAGCCAGTGTAAGGACTTTAGAACTGGGGTGATGTGCTCTACTTTCTTAGTCTTAGTGAGGACACGGGCAGCAGCGTTCTGGATCAGGGAGCCAGTGTAAGGACTTTAGAACTGGGGTGATGTGCTCTACTTTCTTAGTCTTAGTGAGGACACGAGCAGCAGCGTTCTGGATCAGCTGCAGCTGTCTGGTCCACTTTTTAGGCAGACCTGTGAAAACATCGTTGCACTGCAGTAATCAATTCGGCTAAAAATAAACGCATGGATTAGTTTTTCCAGATCATGCTGAGAAATTAGTCCTTTAATCCTGGAAATATTTACTAAATGTTTACTAGAGAAGAGTCTGCTTCTTATAGCCGCCCGGAAAAGAAAAGGTAAACCTAAAGAAACCTCTGATAGCTTCGATCAAAGTCAAGATCTTTATCCATGAAAACCCAATCCAGTGATTCATTGTAAATCCCTTTATTGTCCCACAATGGGGAAATTCAGTCTCTGCATTTAAGCCATCCCCAATGGGGAGCAGTGGGCTGCCATTGTGCGGCGCCTGGGGAGCAGTGTGGGGTTAACTGTCTTGCACAGGAACCCAGAATGGAGGCTTTGGGGATGAAGCGCACTGCTCTAACCACTAGGCCAACGCTCCCCACATTAGTTAGAACCAATTTAGCCTATTAGTAATGGGTGCCTCTCAGAGTAGCAGTTTGAACAATTGTTTGTCTTTAACTTTTTGACGGACTGAACTCCTAAGTTTTCAGTTTTAGATCATTGAAGGGTTTTATAATAAATTGCACATTGATTTTCTAATACGGTCTGCTGAATATGTTATTAGACATGAACAATGCATACATTGGTAACTTTTTTTCCCCCATTCATATTTATGGTGTATATAGAAGCATAAAAATCAGTTGAGAGAGCCGCTATTGATCCTGCTGCTGCAAAATAACATTTGTATAGAGTAGCAAAGATGGATTTCATGTTGGGATACATGTTATATTAGCATCAACATCAGTATCAGCCAATGTTAGTCATTTTAAAGCACAATGGCTGCTGTAGTTCCCATGAATGAAAGTGAGCCAATATGACCTTGTGGCAGTAGGGTTGCATTAATCATGAAGTTGGTGCACCAACATGGCCCAGCCATTGCACTCAGGCTGCTCTGACCTTTATAAATTCTCCATTGGGGATCTGGATTATATTATTTTTGGTAGTGGGGGGACTCTATTTGGGGTTTCCCCAGACAATTTGCTGGGGCAGAGGGGGCCAAATGGTTTGAACAAGTAAGCCCCTCATGTTGTCCCTCGGGCGCTGCTCACTGCTCCCTCATGCTGATGGGTTAAATGCAGAAGACAAATTCTGGTGGAATGTACAATATTAATGAAAAACATATTGGTATATTATTAATAAAAAGCAGGTTATTTCTATTGTTTTATTTGTTACGGTGTATCTCTCCCAAAAGTAGGTTTAGCTAACAGAATTATCCCTCCTCAGGATTTATTTTACTTTTCCACTGCCTGGTGTCAGTTTTTCTTTTTACCATTTATTATAATTTGTGTTTTGTCCTGAATATAAATGATCCACGGTCCATTTACACAGGTCAAAACACAGCCCTCCTGCTGTAACCAAAGACTATGACAGCCATGTTATGGTATTTAACATACGCTACAGTCCTGCTCTGTGATTGGCTGAAGAGTTTATTGATACAGA